AGCTTGGTCAAGTGGTGTGACTTTCTTGTTGGAGTAGAAATGGATAACTTTTAGAGACAGGCAAACTGGCAGATTTGGAACGCAATAATAATAAAAAATGACCATTACTTCATACATTTCAATGCTTTTATTTCTCACTGTTCTCAGTACTTTTAACTAAACTGAAAAACCTTGTAGATCTGGAGTCAGTGGCCTCTTTGGGTTGCTCTGGATGGCTCATTGAAAACCCCAGTGTTTACATAAATTGTTCATCAGTTCCATCATTATGCTTTGTGCTATAATACCGCTGGCTTTCTTCTATCTCATCACAAGAGCCTCTCCATTTCCCCTTTGAAGCCGGGCAGATCTAAAATTGGACGCCATTTTTTTTTTTTTTTTTTTTTTTCCCCAAAATCTCAAAATGGAGCAGGTGGATAATCGTCTGGGTTCACAAAAGACCAGCTTTCATTTTGGTTAATGATCAAATCTATGCCGAGAGCCATTAGGTCCACTATCCCATTCAAGCAGCCATCAGAAAACGTGGTCACAGGCTTTTGAATATTACGATTTCAATTACGCTGGTAGGACATGCTAATAACATTGAATGAGAGGGTGGGGGGGTTCTGTATGTGCAGTTTCTATGGGGGACTCTTAAAGAAGGACGGCGTCAATAGAGCGTGTAACCTGAAAGCATATAGTCCATAAAAGCATAAAAGGCAACTACAGAATGAATGGATTAAATGGGGTTGTCAGTCTGAACAAAGTGAACAGACTGTACAGAGGAAATGTTCTTTTTGATAAATAAAATGGAACAGACATAAAAATATACCTGTTTGTACAACTCTTTCAATACGATCATGAGTTTCAGTTTTTAGTTTCACTTTGAGAACTTTTTTCCATTCAAAAGATGTAATAGTTTGTTTTAAATTCCTAGTCGCTATGGCATTGGTTCAAATTTCTCATCATTCTGAAGGCCATGGATAGTTTCAACTGGTTCATACTGTTTTAGTGTTCCTTGGCAAGACACTTCAGACATTTTACCTTAAAAAAATGACTCTTCCACTGTGAGAAGCTTGTGAAAATGTCAAATCCACTATTACGACTAAATACGCCATTAGCTTTCTGTGTAATTGATGCTTTACAGTGACATCATGCTGGGGGAGTACTACATGTAGTTACCATGGTGATAAAAGCCACACATTAGCAAACACTGCCAAAAAAAAGTTTTAAGATCATCTAGAAACTCAAGAAAAAATACAAAGTGTAATTAAACAGCACATTTTCAGGAATCTGTGATCAATACAAGCATTAATGGTCCTGTTTAGGTGTTTGATTTTTAACTAAATGAGAGAGACAACTAAAAAACTGTTGGATAAAGCTAGCTACCTAGTGACTCTAATGTTAATGAGAGACTTGTGTAATAACTAGGGATGTAATAATAATATAATATAATAAATATAGTGATATCGTATTATCAAAAGTGTCACAATAATATTGTGGACTCTCACAATATATCAATTTGCAAGTTCCTTTGTTTAAATGCATGGTTTTATAGTAGCAACAGCTCAGAAACATTGTAAACTACATATCCCATGATTCATTTCAGTGCAGATATGAAGAAATATGTTTTTGATTTGAATTCTTGGGATTATGATGGAAATAATTCACATCAAAATCTTGTCAAGGTATTTTAAAAGCAAAAAAGTGTCCTATCTTATATCAGCCTCTCCAGAATATTACAATAAATATCATATCGTGAGATGCATATCATGATAATATCATACTGAGAGATGTGGATATCGTTACATCCCTAGTAACAACACAAATCAGAGGTCAGGTCAAATCAGATCAGTCTTGTGTGATGTCACATAGTACTTAAAATTGCAGTGGCTTCTATTATTACTATTATTATTATTATTTTTTATTTTTTTTTTTACAACACAAATCATCTCACCTGTTGTAGTTCCAACTCAGTCAGTTCTCTTTTGTCAGACTGTGTTAAAATAAAGCTTGTATTAAGTCTAATTTGAGTAATAGAGCTTCAGACAGAGTAGTGCCTTCGGCTAGCATCACCACCCCAGGGAATATTGATGACATTAGCTGTAAAGTACCAATACCGCATTTTCTTTTCTATACCTTAATTTCACAATGTTCAAATCCTACATTGATACCATATTACTCGAGTTCTTGAAGTGATCGTACCCCTGCCTCTCCTCTCCGCAAGTTTATGGTCCGGGACCAAACTCCACCAGGGGGCGCCCCAGTGGAGACTCCGCTATTATTTCCAATCAGACTTCACTGATTCAGAGCCAGTGCCACATTAACCCTGCTGTCCCTGCTGTCCCTGTCCTCCCTATACACTCTGTACCCCAACCCTCTCCACCAACCACAGGCCTCCTCCCAGGGATCAACTCAACCACAAATCCAATGAATTCTGAGTCAGGACTTGTATTTCCTCAGAGAACACGGGTTTCCTCTTGTTCTTGGAGTGAGAATTCAATGGGAGAGACAAGATGGTGGTTGCAGAGGACGGAAAAGAAGTAGGGTTTCAAAATACCAACTATATATTGCAACTGTATTATGAATTTCAATAAAATCAAACACAAACTAAGCCTATAGTTTCTTCTCTTTTTGACAGAGGTGGGACCAAGTCATCGTTTTGCAAGTCTCAAGTCTCTGACCTCAAGTCTGAGTCAGGTCCCAAGTCAAATACAGGCAAGTCCAAGTCGAGTCTCGAGTCACTGACCCATAAGTCCAAGTCAAGTTGTCTGCTTTGAGCTTCAAGTCATTTTAAGTCTTTAAACCAATACCAAATATAGTTTAGATTCTTGCAATTTATCTGACTTTTAAGATAAATTGTACTTATAAAGTCATAGTAAATTTATATATGAGTATTTATAGAGTATATAAGAGAAAAAAATTATTTTAAATTTTTTAAGAGTTATTTAGAAGACAGTGATTTTTTTTTTTTCCAAGTTTTTATTTGAAAAATACAGCATTTTACGGACATCAGAACTATTGATGTACAAATTTAACAATTTCCATAGAATTCAATTCCATAGAGAGTAAGTGAACTCAGGATTTATGTCCCTCAACCACCTCAATACAGATCTGTATTGCATTTATTTTGGAACATTGAACTTTGAACTTTTTCTGGTTTACTTTGTGTGATATTTGAGGAAGCAATTCCCCTTTTTTGAAAGACACAGAAAGACTTTTAGTGCAATCACATAGGTTTTGCTGTTACAGCCAGATCTACACACCTTGATGCATTGGTTCATCAATTTTTGTGTAGCGCTCCATAGTGTCTTTGAAGCCCAATCATTTGAATGTTTGGAAACTCAAACAGGCCATGTAGATGGAGCACCCAAAGAAAGTCTTCCCCCTCTCCAAGTGTTTAGTGATGTTCAGAATCTTCACGTTGGTTTGTGCAATAGCCATTTGTTCAAACACAGTGTCATCAATATACTGTTCAAAATAACAAGTGGGGTCCAGTTTTGGCATGTTGTGGTATCATTGTTGAGGAAGATCATCCAGTCTTAAGTAAAAAATGTCAGTCTTTTCATTTTAAAGTGAAAGATTGTTATAGTAAACCAAAACTAATTATTCTGAATAGTTTTGTTTTTTTTTGCAAAATGATTTGAATGAACTAAATATATAAAATACATTGTAAAATACATAATACTAAGTCAAGATCAAGATGTACTGTGAGAGCGGACGGCGACTCCACTGACTCTTCTTCCTCAACCTCATCCTCATCCTCAGAGCTCTCTGATTCCTCAGTCTCCTCAAACAATAAATCCTGGTCAATCATCAGACAACTCAATATATGAGTTTTCCCACAATTTGTAGTAATATTTTCTCTGCCTCTGACCTAGAACCAATTCCTTCAAATTGAAAAAAATAAATAAATGACTCCAAATGTCCACTTCGGAGGACATTTGTTAAACACTCAAATTTCATTGTAAAATATTGCTACTTTACTTTAAAAATGGTTTTAAGTGTTCAAGACATTCAGAAAAATAAACAATGCAACTTTGATCCAAAATTTGCAAAAAAAGTTATACCACTTACTGTCTTTTTTCCATAAAATGTGGTTGTGTTGATGGCAGCCATTTTCCTTGTAAAGGCCAAAGCTCCACCCTTATAAATTTGATCATTTGAAAGCTCTGAATGTCCTCTTTAAATCACAGAGGGAGTAAATGTGCAGGGAGTTGGAAATATTTTTGTAAAGAAATGTCCACTAACAAAAATGAACTATGGGTAGTCATAAGAGATGCAATTTTTCCTTTTTAAATATCATGACAAGATCTTAGAGTGAGTCTATACAGTCAGAATAGAAAGAATTCAGATTTAAAAGTGCTCCTCAAGTTTTCTCAAGTCACAGGCCTCAAGTCCGAATCAGTCCCAAGTCACTGACCTTCAAGTCTAAGTTGAGTCCCAAGTCGTAATCCTAATGTCCTAAAAATAGTGACTCAAGTCTGACTTGAGTCCAAGTCACGACTTGCAAGTCCCCACCTCTGGTGTTTGATAACACAAAATGGCTTAGAAGAAAGAAAATAAATCCTAACATTTGACATGGGCCAAGCCACCTGAATGAATGGAACAGAGTATCTCCAAAAATTTCACTCAATAATATTTTAAGTAAAAGAAATTGCAAAAAAAAAACAAACTTGCAACTACAGCGACAAGAGTCTTCACACTTCAAACTATGTCCCTCGATCAGGTGTTTTGTAATCCGAAGCTGGCTATGATCGGGGCAGTCCTGCGTGATGTCACATAGTACTTGAAACTGCAGTGGCTTCTGGAGGCAGCACACACTCAATTTGCACAAAAAAAAAAGTAAAAATAAGGTATAGCGATCATACAAAATTATATTAAAACAACATTCAAATGTTAGTCAATTAAACATTGAATTTGCGTTTAGTTCTTTCACATTTTTCCTGTTTTATTGTGAAATGTCTTACTTGTTTGTATTTTTGGATTCACTACCTGCTTTCATTTTTCCTCCACTGTGATAGGCTGCTGTGTCCCCAATGTGTCCCACCTGAGCATTGCTGTCTTCCTTATAACATCTTCTCCAGTCCTGCGCCCTCATTTTTCCTCCTCCATGTGAGTTACAAGTTAAGCTTTGTATCTAATTGAATATTGTGTTGTTTTTTTGATAACTGTTGGATGATTCAGCTTTTTAAATCTCATTGCCATTCTGACAAACAGTGGCAAATAGACTGACCATGTCTGAAAGTTGGAGAGATAAATAGCACAGTGTGAGTGTGGTTGGACAGACTGGACAGATATTACACAATGACTCACAGTTCAAATGATGGTATGTTTATATTGTGATAGCCATAGTCTGCGGCACTTTTAAAACTCACAAGATATGGCTCAAAAATTGGTTTTAGACAAAGTTAACTTCAAAAACTTTGCTCTTCTTCCAACTAGTGGCATATTTAAAGGCCCCATTTATTACACTATTTTCTGATCTTTGTTGTTTCCTCGTCACAAATACACATGGAGTTGTGCTTTGCTTCATTCCTTCTGTTCCACCTTGTGATGTCACATAAAGTCCGTCACTGTGTTTTTAAACTCCCTACACCTTCACTATATGAGAAAATGTTGTTTTTGTTTACATTCGACTTTCTCACATGTGCGCTGTGGTTGGTAGGCAAATAGTCAGTGGGGCCACTCGTTTGTGTTGACACTTGCATCGTGTATGTCATGAGATAACTCGTCTTATTTTGAAGTAGGCTTTGTATTTAATTGTTTTGACATGACTTCATCATCTTACTCTGAGTCACTGAACGCTGAAATGTTGTTGTTACTGTTGTTTGACGATGTGTTGTGTTGATGTTGTGTTGTTGAACTGTTGATGTGTACTGTTGACGATTGTTGATGTTGTGTTGTTGACGATGTTGTACTGTTGACGATTGTTGATGTTGTACTGTTGTATGACGATTGTTGTACTGTTGTACGATGTTGACTGTTGTATGTGTTGACTGTTGTACTGTTGACGTTGTTGACGTTGTATGTTGACTGTTGATGTTGTACGTTGTTGACGTTGATGTTGTTGTTGTTGTTGACGATTGTTGATGTTGTACTGTTGTATTGTTGATGTTGTACTGTTGTTGCGACTTTTTGTGCCTACCAAAATGTTGCTGTTGACCGCCCCGAACGTGACGTCATTGTGTTTTCTCGTATAGAATCATTTTGTTCATTTCAGACCTAGGATTGCCCGTCTCTGTCTACATCTCCAAAACTGAAAAGCTTAACTAATAATAGAGGATTACTCAAACATGTGTGAATGAAACAAAACATATCTACGAGTATGTTTTTGAGAAGGTAACAACATTATAACATGACTGAAAGCTCAAAAGAGTCAATTTTCAGTAATATAGGACCTTGCTGAATCATCACAATTTGTTACATAAGGGCTGCAAATGGACACTAACAATCTGAAATGACTACCAACAAAGTCAACAGATTTTCCAATATGGTTTCTGTTTGCATCTCTGTATACCGTGTAGGTTTTGCATATTCAGTCGGGCCCTTTGATGGTTCCCGGTGTGAAGAGGTGTCGAGCCGTTGTCACTTAATGAAAACAGCCAGGCCGGAAATGAAAGGGGGCAAAGGATAAGATCGCGAAAACACAATAAGAATCGGTCTTGTAAACACGCCAAGATGCCCAAAACAGATACCAGCACGGAAGAGGCTGACGAAGCATCTGGTTTATTTTGCCTGACAGAAAAGGTGTGTCTGGGCTATTATCTTTTGGCGAAGGGGTTGCAGTTTTTTACGCTGACAATTCCAAGTTTTATTTGAGCTACAAAACGCTGTTACGCAACATTTTTTCTTTCATAATTTTTAAAGGTGCACCATGTAGCTTTTTGGTTAATTTCTATGGATTACTTTGCCTGGAATGTTCCATACCATGACATTAAACAGCTCTACCTTACATTTATTCACTTACAGGTTGTTTTTTTTAGCTCAAATCTCCACAGACCTGACCTGTAACTTTGGTCTCCATGAACATAGAAAGGTTTAATACCATACTGCGAAACTGCGAAACGGACCCTGCACCAGAGAAGTTACACAATGTACTTTTTAAAGACTGAAAATTAACTTAAAAACTTAGACTTTGACTCGACTTCACAGTACTTTTTATTCCAAAACTGAGACTTGAAACGTCCCAAAGCGTCCTTGCACAAAAAAAATCACAATCCTAATACGAAGAATACATTAAGTAAAGATTTAACATAATAATTATTCATAGTTTCCATAAAAGCGATAATTAGCTTGCCTTATACATAATGCATTTCTTTCAATATAGAACAAAAGATTGGGGGAAAAAAATATGTATCTTTGGAATGCTAACGCTAATTAGCCCTACGTACGATCTATTTGAAATGGTGATACGCATTGGAAGTTCCAGAGGGAGGTGCAAAATGGCGCAGTCAGTGGACAAAGGGAAGTGTAAACCAAAGGATTTTCTGGAGCGATAATGAGAGGAGAGACAGCACTATGTTTTACAAAGGAATTCACATCAATAGAAGAGTCTAGTTACTGCTCTGAAATATCCTTAGAAACTGACTGAGATTTGTGAACAATGAGAAAGACAGGGATTTCAATTTGCACAGTGAGATCTTCCCAAATTTGTTTCGTAAAGTCATGCCAAGTTTTTTTTTTTTTTTTTTTTTCTTCGTTGTCACTTTTTAATTGATTTGAGAGTTGCCGTGGTAACCGCGATGGCTCTTTCAGAACTTTTACAGAGGCACGTTCAGAGAGTAAAAGGTTATACAATCGTTTGGATCAGCGCGACAAAGGTTTACAGCCGGAGTCAAACCACATGTATCAAAGGGGAGACTGAAAAGCAATATCATTTCGTACTAGAGGTAGAAGTACACAAAATAGCAATCTGTCTTGTGCTGCTCACCAGTTCGGGCGGAGGAGTAAGACTATACTACTGCGACCACTACCACAACTACCACTACTGGGACAACTTTATTACTACCACTACTAATATTTGCTTAAAAATATAATAATTCTATGGCAAAGTGGTAACTAATAAACAAACTAACTACTACTGCTACTACTACTACTACTACTACTACTACTACTACTACTACTGACTACCACTACTACTAATATTTGCTTAAAAATATAATTAACATTCTATGGTGTGGTCGTAACTAATAAACTAACTAACTACTATTACCACTACTGATACTACTACTACTACTACTACTACTACTACTACTACTACTACTACTACTATTACTACCACTACTACCACCATTTTGAGTACCAGTGCTAATATTTGCATAAAAATATAATTAACATTCTATGGTGTGGTAGTAACTAATAAAGTAACTAACTACTACTACTGGTACCACTTCTACCACTACTATATTACTACTATACTCCTACTCCTACTTTTACTACCACTACCACTGGTACCACCACTACTGCTACTACTACTACTACCCATACTTGCTTAAAAATATGATTATTATATATTGAAATATATATTACATATTAAAATAAGTAATCTATGACATTGTACTATTCTGACTAAGAAACAAGAAACAAACCAACTACTACTACTGCTACTACTGTTACTGCTGCTGCTGTTGCTACTACTACTACTAGTACTACTACTACTATTACTCATACCCATCATACTCATACCAGCTTATCAATATCATTAACATTCTGTAGCATGGTACTATACTAACTAATAATCAAACCAACTACTACTACTACTACTTCTGTATGCTACTCATACTTGTTTAAATATTTTATTAAAGATGCACTGTGCAACTTTTCTGGTGCCGCGTCTGCCAAATTATTTTTACTGTGGAAATGTTAGTTCTTTGTTTGAAATGTTAAACCTGCCCATCTTAATAAAGACCAAACCAGTCCAAGTTACAGGTCAGCTCTGTGGAGAAATACAGCCAGAATACTTGTTTTTCTTGGTATTTTTGAGCTAAAGAAAAGAACCACCTGCAATTGAATAAATGTACGACGACTACTACTACCACTACTACTTGGATCTTGGATAACCGCTGTCTCGTTTGTAACAAGAAACATCACACATGCAGATAGGCGTGCGAGAACCAATTACCTAATTAACTCCATGAATTAATGACGAAATCACACAACCAGCCGAAGTAAGGTAAACGTATAGGAGATTAGAGAGACAACTTTACCAAGCCATTGCACCATCAAAGAGTACTACATTGGCCCTAGAGGCATTCACGGATTACAGATACAGATACCACACATAAAACGCAAATGTGCATATAGCTGAAATGATTAATATTTCAGAAATGCACGCTGGGTTCTTCACATCAGAAAGATACACGTCCGGTTCGCCAACGAGGACTTCAAAGTGAGTTAAAGTGTGATTAAGTTATGTGATGAGTCTATTAAGGTAAGGGACAGTGATCGGTTGTCAAGGGATACGGAAAGTTTTGATTATTGTTGAGTTTTTTTGCGTGTGAAACGTGGATCAAAAGCCATCAACAGGGGGCGTTTTACATATAGGATTCTCATATACAGGCTCCTGCTGAGATGATAGAGAATTGGTAACGTTTGTTTTAGGGTTTGAGGGACGCATAGGAGGATGTCATTTGGTGAGATCTTTGAACCCTCTGCACTGTACATGGGCTATAGTTGTAGGCACGCAGTAATTCTGAGTTAGATGCCTCGGAAAAGTACTGCGATTGCGAATGAAAGTGCTGGAAGAGTTCATCGCTTGTACTTGTACAATAGTAATACAGCTGTTCCATACTACAAGTGCCTACAGCAATACAAGAACAAGAACTACAACAGCAACAGCTACTATTACTACTACAACTATTACCACTACAACAGCTGCAACGACTACTACATCTACTACAACAATTGCAACTACAATTGCGACTACTACTACAACAACTGAAACTACTAAAACAACTACAACTACTACTACAATTGCGACTACTGTAATACAACAACTACAGCTATTACAACTAAAACATCTACTACTACAACTACTATGAGTACTAAAACTACTACTACTACTAAAACAACTGCAACTACTACAACAACTGAAACTACTACTACAGTTGCAA